CCCCGCGCCTCCACAACGCGTTTGGCCGCGCGTCGCCCTCTGTTTGCCTTATATATCCTTACGTAAGGGTGAAGGCGCGGCAAGGGCGAGAGAAGGTGCACGTGGTCCACGTGTGTGCGTCGGGTGCGAGGTATGAGTGCGAGGCCGAACACCGCCGGCTCACGGTGATGGCGTGGGTGGTCCGCGCGCCGCCACCACCCCACCTCTACCTCTCCCCGGAGGAGTGGTGGAGACCGCCACGCCAGGCGCCATGGGAGCCGCGCAGACGCCCGCGGCCCTTCCCTCCGCGCCCTGACGCGTGCCCCCCTTCCCCCTCCTGGACGCCAACTTGCACCACCCGCATTGGGCGCGCGTCCTGGACGCCCGTCGGCGGCGGGCGTGCGTTCGCGCGGCGCGCCCCTCCCTGAATGGTAAGCATAAGCGCACCAGCGCACCAGCGCGGCGGGCACTTTTCGTGTTAAATATGTTATTAAAAATGTGTCGTAACCGGCGGCACGACATGCATGTATAACAGAATACCAGCAATGGGGGCTGCTCCTACCAGCAGGCGCAGCGCGAGCGCAGCGGAGCATGGACTTGACGGCGCGAGACGGGAGCCGTGCGGGATGCGCACTCTGCCCCCCCGTGCACGGCGGCGGCGACGGGGTTGCGGGCCACCCACCCCACCTCACCGCCAGCAGTATATTGTTCCACGCAAAGTTGTGCCTCCTTCTTTAGAAATTCCAGGAGCAGCAGCAGCAAGAAACTGGCGAAAGAACGAAAACAAGGAGCGGGTTCTGCTGCGGTAGGAAAACGAAAAATATTGACCTTCCGTCTGCCGAACGCACCGAGGATTCTCATTACGGGCTGCCCTCTGCGGGTATCGCGTACCTCCTTCCCTTCTAGCTCGGCGCGCGCACAGGGTGAAAAAAAAGAATTTGCTAAAATAGCTAGCTAACTATTGGCTAAGCTAAGACAGCTGAGACATTACTCTCAAAAAAGTAGGTGTACTTGAACAAAGTGCATTTCCTTCGAAACAAGTGCGTGCACTCGAATAAACTGAGTGCATGAACTTATCTCAAGAAAATGCACTTGATTCCAGAAACTACTCTTTTGCACCCCGAAAAATAGTTTCTTGATTCAAGTGCAAGCTGACACAAGAGGAAATGCACCATTGAAACAAGGCAATTTTGTCTTGGGGATAAGAGTTTTCTCCTATTCAAAAGAAAATATCGGCTTGTTTCAAGAGTAAATTTGATCTTGTGATAGCCTGCACTTGAAAAAAGGAAGGATTTACTTGAAAGAAGAGACGATTTTTCTGCGTGTGGGTGTAGCCTTTAAGCTGGTTCCTTTTGCTTTCATACACAATGGCTATCTTTTTAGCAGCTCTCCTAGCTAATAATTAGCTAGGCGAGCAAATATCTCATCAATGGCATAGTTGGCAAATGCATTAGCTATTTTAACTCATTATTTTTTCCCCGTGTGGCGCGCGAGTGCCGTGGCCGTGGCCACCCGGGCGGCCCGCCGGGCCGGGAGCCCACGTACTGCTTACTCAGGTCGAGAGGAAGGTGAAGTACCTCACCGCGACGGCACGGCCGGCGGCGGCGTTACTTTGTCCGACTTTGTTGTGTCTGTCGGTGTCGGTCCCGCTTCCCATTTGCTGTTCGGGCGGCGACCGGATGGCGGACCGCGACAATCATACCTTTTCGTATGAGTCTAATGGGTAAACGGGAGGAAGTGTAAGACACACAGTTTAGTTGCCACCGGTCATTTTAATTTTTGTGGACGTGAATTTGTTTTCGACCACGTGAACACATTAATCGTTAGGTAAAGCCGGTGCGAGAGATTTTTAAACCTCAGGAGGATCCTAGAATAGTCAATATAGCACCGAACATCGATCAAGTTAGGAATGGCCAAGGATTGCCTAATCGAAGTATACAAAATGTAATTAATGAACCGGCCGTTCTCTTCGGTCGGACGGTCGATCTTGGCCCTC